CCACAAGCGGGATCGGGTGGTCAGGCTCGCTGACTTGGTTGACACATGTCATCGGTTCCCAACTGCACAGATCGATGCTCATGCTGTTGATCACTTGATTGTCTGGTCCAGACTCGATTATTTATAGTTAAGTTAAATAGCGTTCACTAACATGATTATTTACAGACCGCCGCCATATAGCTGGACTATTGCTGAGTGCGGCGTAAATCTAAACTCACTCACTGAATCAGTTGGTTCGTAAACTATACTAGGCACATAAAGAAACTGTGCATACAAAAATCTAAATTTATCAAACCTGTGTAGACACATAAGGATTTAAACTAGTGACATGTATCCAACATGCATGCAAGTGCCACGTTCTGTGACGTCAGTGGGTTCGTCCTTGAGACGTGCAATACGTTGTTGCACGTGCATTCCGGGAAAGAGAAACAGAGCAAATGAATGCCACACAATACTGTCACTTTGGAAAGCTAAACCCCTGCCCTTGCGATCGTACAAAAAATTAAACGGCTATTGAAACGCATAGCATGCCAAGGCTAACGTCTGCACAACGTCATGAGGCCATTGGGATGGTCCGTAGGGGAATGTCTCAAGGACAAGTGGCTGCACATTTTCACTGCCACCGGAACACCATTTCTGCACTGGTGAGACGCTACCAGAACACAAATGACGTCATCGATCGGCCACGTTCTGGACGTCCACGTGTAACAACGCCAAGACAGGACAGATGGATAAGGGTTACCCATCTCCGTCACAGGTTTCAGAATTAAAAACATAACATTTGCATTGTTATTCAAACTGTATTTCTATTTTGAAATACTTTGGGAATAACAAGATAATCAGGTGCCCGTTCGGTTTCGCTTTATGCGTTGCTATGCAACAAAGTACCTCATATACAATGTACGACATGGATTTAGGACCGCGTCGTACGACATGGATATGACGTCTTTGTGAAACGGTCGTAAAGGAGGTCGTAAACAAGGTCGTATGGGCTATGACCTCCTAAATTGAGGAGGCTTTTGTGAAACGTGGGCCAGCTGTCTACACTGAGAGTGGTGGATGCGTCCAGGGCCCCGTTCCTCAAAGCGGTCGTAGTGCTACGACAGTCGTAAGTGTATGTTAAAGTATGGGAGTTACGATCATCTTAGCGCTACGATCGCTTTGAGGAACGGGGCCCTGGGCTCTAATGGAAATTTATCAAAACATATATGCTGGAGATTAGTGAGAATGAAAACGGGGATGGATTCGAACCTGGAAACTCTTGCTACCTAGGTCATTGCACTGCATCCATTATGACGCTGTGATCCTTAGAATGATATAAACACTGACACTGGCATGGTATTGTTTTAATACAATGTTCAGAAATCGTACAATTCAAATTACCATACCACCATAAAGTATAGCTTTGTATGCAGACATAAAAACCTCATATAAGGTCCATTCATACCACTCACTGTGAGAAGTGAATGCATCATTGCAGTATTTGTAATTGCAATGTGTATTTCCCAGGCATTACAACACTGTTTGTAATACAGTAAGCTAGGCAAGCTGCCTCTTCATTTCTGTCCTCAGTGCAATATAGAGATCACACAGGTCGTCCTTCTTCTCTGGGACTTCCCACTGCATTTCATCCATAATGATTTTGCATAATTCGAATACAGTGGCATCACTACAGACCGCACCCCTAGGAGTAGTCTCCTGTTTGCAAACTTCAATTGCATCCGGAGTTACTTGCTTTAAACAATCGACAACACCATATAAAGCAGGCATAGCAGCCATTACAGCCGGTTTCCCATGCGGACCTGGATTGTTCTTACTTGCACGAATGTGATGGAAGTTCCAAGTACGAGCCTCTTCTTGAATTTCATTCTGAAGCAATAAGATAATCAGTTATTGGTTAGTTATAAATAACCTGAACCAAAGTAGTACAATTAAGATAAAACATATATAGTGTCATAAAACCATTAACGTGGTGAAAATAAACGTGTAAATGAACTTACCTCAATTGCTTCTAAGAAACAAAACTGCATCAGGTTTCCACGAGGTCTCCTGTAAAGTATCCATCATGTTTGAGGTGAGTGAAAAGATCCATCAAGTACTGAATGCAATGCTTTCTCAATATGCCCCACCATGATTCTATTCTTTGGTTTGTTGTACTTGACCCATACATGTAACTCAGTCCAAGTGATCGTTCCTCAGAAAGTACTGTATCTGCTCAACAGTTGCATTTTCTGTGCCAGCATCAGAGCGTACTCTCTCTGGGCATCCTTGATATGTTGATACAGCTTCGACGAAATAACTTGCTACCAGCTTTGGATTGTTATTCGTGTTCCATGCATGTAGCCATATGATGTTACGTGAAAATCCATCTATGCAACCATGAATGCAAATTCCGTATGGCTTCAATTTGTCGTACCCATCGATATGCCAAACAGTATTAGGTCCCAATGAAAAGTACTTTCGGCGCTCCAGTCTTCATTTACTGCGACATTTCACACCCTGAGGGTCAACGATACCAAGCAATGTTCTTACAGTTTCTTTGTCAACAGTCAAACCATTTTCCCGACACCTTTGATGCATCCATCGATAGCCATGTAACTTACCAGAGGTTTCACATTCAGACAGGATGAAGAGAGCGACATCAACCACTTTTGATTTTCCTTTTCTTCGAAAGAGTTTCATTTTTGCAAGTTTTCTTTTCAGTGTGCGTTCACTTATCAAAATCTTGTGATCATGAGCCAGAAAATAAAGAATGTCTTTATTGCTCAACCCTAAGCATACGTACGTCTGAATGATCTTAACGCACATCTCCATATTTTGATCTTTATATAGTTGTTCCAATACTGCTGTTGGCTCTATTTATACCATTTAAGTTGAAATTTCCAGTTACTTAGTGGAAATTGCAAGAAACCTAAGTGGAAATTTCCACATACTAAGTGTAATTTTCCAGTTATTAAGTGGAATTTTCCAGTTATAAAGTAGAAATGTCCAGTTATTAAGTAGAAATTTCCAGTTACTATGTGGAAATTTCCAATTAGTAAGTGTAAATTTCCAGATACTATGTAGAAATTTCCAGTTAATAGGGATGTGAAAAAAAATGACATGGTCCTAATAGGCTTCCGTACTTTTAAGATATTTGACTCCATGATTACACCTATTCTGTGTTATGGATCTGAGATTTGAGGAACCACTTATTGCAAACAAATTGAAACTGTAAGACTTTTCTCAAAGTCAGCAAGTATACCAACAATAGCACTGTGCATGGAGACTGGCAGACTCTCACAGCTATATAACTAGATCAGCAATGTACTGGTGCAGACTGATGCAGCTTCAACACCATAGCTTTCCTTATCAAGCCTACCAAATGCTCAAATCTCTTGGTGATGATATAATACATCTACCTGGGCATCACACATAAGACTAATCATTTTTCACTATGGGTTTGGGTTGTATGGATCTCGCAAGAAATTGGCTACAGTAAACATTTATATCGATCTTCAAGCAGTGATTTTATGATTGCTTCCTTCAATCTGGCGCACCTCACTTGACTCTTCATCTAAATGTAAATATTATTCACAATTTAAATCTTTACTTAATGTTGAACACCTCGTGTTAAAACTGATAATTTTAGCTAGCTACAGATGTTGGAAATTTAGGTCTTGATCAGCTGTGAAAATTAGGAAGCAGATGTAGGAAGACGCCCGACCGTTTTTGAATATTGCACAAGTCGTCAACTTAGCATCTATCCTTCTTTGAGTGGCATATTTAGAAGCTGCTGAATCCGATAAGGACAAACTTTATGGATGAACAAGTTATTTATTCGGGAGATGCGACGTTTCCATGCAGATTCTTGACAACGATACAAAAATCTGTATCGAAACGTCGTATCTCCTGAATACATGTATAGAAGTTGTTCATCCATAACGTTTGTCCTTAGCATCTATCCTATTTCATGTTGGCGGAGATAGGGGAGATTCGGTATCCAGTGAGTAGCTGAGTACATGTTAAACTCCCTGATCTCCTGTACTATATAACATTTAAATGATCCATTGAATGACTTACTGTGGCTGTTAACATACATCGTTTGAACAAATCCGCTGCTTGCATGATTTCGTTATTCGAGAACAAATAACGAAAACGAAAAATGAAATTGAAGATACCGTATCTTAAATATGTTGTTCCCAGTCTGAATAACTAAACCGGGGTTGGTTAGTGTTGCATTATTCAAAAGTACTGAATTACTTAACAGTTGCTTGGAGATAGATTATCATAGAATTGATTGGACATAAACTGAACAAGAAACCTGGTTCTGGTTAGCTTTCCGGTATTCAGAAGTGCTGAATACTTGAACAGGTGTTTGGATATGACTATCTTATTTTTTATAGATCTGATGGGCATTGAGTGAAAAACGAAGCCGCTGCTCATAAGAGAACCAGCTTGGGTTATGTTTTCAGTTACAGATTAAGTCAAAATCCATGCGCTTAAAGCAACAGTCAATTGTGGGTGAGTTGCACGTAGCTAGGCGGTCGACTTGCGTTCAGCTTGGCTTGAAACTAGCATAATGCATGTCCAGTCCGTCTGGTGAAACTCCAGCTATGATCCAATTCAACAACGGATTTTGTGAACAATGGCAACAGGTGCATGCTGTCAGTGCAATTTCAGTATTTTCGGTCCCGTGAGATGCACTGAGTCTGGGTGTCTTCATACCAAAAAATGGAAAGATCAGCTGCTGCAATTGATAAGTACAATGTTCGTAAGCGTATTAAGCGAAAACTGACAGAACAAGTTCGATCCAGGTACATTGTCACTATACTTGCGAGGATGGACCTGTTTACTAAAGCGCCACATGAGATCTTGAGTTCGAATCTCTGAATAACTCGATCATTCGCTCTGAATATATGGTTTTTCGTTTGCCGGGGCCAGTGTTAATGTGTTTCGCTAAACTCCGAGAACAATATATCAAAAAGAACCAACAACTCTTGAATCGCTTCACAATATTATTAATGCACATCTCTGGGCTGTGATATGTGTGAAAGTTTAAAAAAAGCCTTCACGGGTCGTGGGAGCGTCAGCTGGTCCCATTTATCGAATAGATCACGTCCAAAATGACGCTTCACCGCAAAGACAGCACATTCTTTCAGAGATCTGGGATTCGTCACGACTACTTTGAGACTCTTGCTCAAGTCTTTGTCATCCAGTACTGATGAAAATTCTTCCTGTGTCGGAAAGTACCCAGCAGCTAAAATGAGGTGAGCTATATCTGTATGTCTCAGCGATAACGATGTAGCAAACGGGGTCTTTCTGTCAACTTCCACCTTAGTCAGACACGCGTTCATGTCGACAACGAGGTAGTAGGCGATGTCGTACAAACCACACAAAGCGGCCAGGTGCAACGGAGTGTTGCTATATTTATTTTGTTTGTTAACATCCACACCCATTCGGCACAGATATTTCACTATATCGAGTTGACCGGACATTACCCCTAGATGTATCATACTATTGCCTCTGGGAAATACCCCTTCGACTTCAGACCCAGCGTTAATAAGGATTTTAACAATGTCAGTGTTGCCCAGAGATATTGCATAGGCAAGCGGTGTGAGGTCTTTCGGACATCTCAACTCCAAGTCTACACCACGAGACAGGATGTACGAACAGATGGACGGTTTGTTGAATTCTACAGCAGTGAATATTGCCTGTTCGAGCGATGGATCATCTGTCCTGTCATACAGATAGGCAACCAGCTCCAATGAACCGCTGACGATAGCCCAGAATAACGCCGAACCTTCCCCCTCGTCGTTCAACTTCACACCATAGTCATGTACAAGAGATTTCACAATATCCACTCGCTCAGCACAGATAGCAACATGGACAGGTCTCTTGAGAAAGTTGTCTACAGAACAACATTCATTAGGATCAAAACCGGACGATATGAGCGCTCTGACAACCTCCATGTTCCCGGCGCTAACAGCCATCCCTACAGGTGACATTTTCGGTGCTGGATCCGTCACCCCTTGGTAAATACATTGACTTGAATGGCGTCTCTCACCCTCACACCGAAGAAGACGCATGACTCCATCGAAGTCGCCACGCTTCAGCAACTTCTTGATCTCGTAGACACAACTCTCACAGAACATTTCGGTTACGGCCACGATGTCACGGAGAATGATACTTGACTGGGAGCGTAGAAAGTTCAACACTAAAGACAGACGGTTATGTCATCATGAAGTATTCGACTCGTTTCACCTGTCAGAACTAAATGCTTCGAGTAAACAAATGGACGCCATATTGATCGCTAAGGAAGTTGTGTTTAAGGGACATAACTCATGTCATGCAAGTGCACCGGAGTTTATCTTGTAAACGTGTCCAATAGAAATTGAGTTCGAATATGACAAAAATATAAACCAACAAGAAAAATCGATTTATTGTATTTTAAAGGGCCCATCTGCATGGCATGGACGTATCGTTATTTAAAATATACACACAAAAATAGTTTTATTTGCTGTCAGATCACCCCTAAAAGAAATTTTTTAAAAATTCTAATTTGGGTGGGGACGTAAACGGTTTAGCCAGATCTATTTTTTACAAATACATATATATGATCACATTGCTCTCTTTAGAAAAGAGGGACCGAATCATCAGGTATGGCATTCTTTGAACATTAGACTATGTTTAGTCCATTTTTAAAATTTGTTCAGCAAATTTTAGGATGTATGTCCATAATGATATAAAGTCTATTATAGGAGAATTACGAGGTATGAAGTCAAACAACTTGGACTGGTAATTTAAGTTGCAGTATTCCGCGACAACAAAATCAACATGTTTGTTATTGGTGAAAGTGAGGTGTGCAGTTTCATGGGATCAGTCTAATGTTTTAGTAGGTAGACAGACAGAAAGTAGGAATAACCGATAACCGACTATTCTAAAATAATACATTTAAATCGTTTACTCACATAGTGAGAGGAAATAAAAGACATGAATACTTCAATGAAACGGAATTTTCGACGATGGGACAGAGATTAGTATAAAAATGTTTCATTTGTGCTTTCCATCAGAAAGCAATTTACTATTTGATAGATATGGACATTTTCATATTGCAGGAACAGTTTTAATGCATTCTGCAACTTACACATTTTATAGTCCCTTAGTAAAACTTTTGACTGGAAATATCCCACCACCAGAAACGGCCGGCTGATGATGACCCCTACCCTCAACTTCCCCTTTTGTGATTGGTGATTGGTATCCTCAGAATGGTGATTAGTATCATTATAACAGACTGGGGATCGGATGGACACATGCCAAACCACTGTTTGTGTGGCGCATAAAGCTGTATATATTTGTTTGTTTCTTGTTTTAACGCCGCACTCCATAATCTATTCCAGTGATTAACAGCATGATCAGCCTGACCACCCGATCCCTGCAGGTGCCACGTCAAACATGGGTTGCTGAAGACTACTTTTAACCCGGATCTTCTTAAGTCCATAAAGCTATACTTTTGTGGAATGCTACCTGAAACAACTTAATAACCCACCTGCATATGCTCAGAAATAAATATGCAAATGAAGTTACATGAATGTATAGATAAATCGCTAGTGTCGTGATATGTTATCACCAAAGCTTTACACAATCGATTAGGCATGGTGGTTTAAATGCACCCAAAACACTCGAGACAGCTGCATTTAGTTCCCGTGAGTGCACGTGTACCCGATAAACTCAGGACTTTGAGCACCGACAGACCAGGATGTGACACAAATAATCACATATCACATTTAGCAAATCACTGATAGCCCCTTGTCACTTGTTTACACCCAAACCGGGTCAACAGAATAAACTGGGAATAAACTTTGTGAATGTTTCTAACTTTAAACATGGCCTACCTTGGTGTGACAAACACGCAGCAATAAAATACCAACGACACTACAAGTGCTCCGCTTCCTGGTTCATCTGATAACCTTTGTTATCAGGGCTGGTCAGATTGCAGCTAGGATTTTACTATCGACATACTTTGTTCATTACATAGATTCGTTCTCGACTCGTGAAAATCCGGGTTAGAATTGATCTTCAGTAATTCATGCTTGTAAGAGGCGACTAACGGCATCGGGTGGTCAGGCTCGCCGACTTGGTTGTCCCAATTGCGTAGATTGATGCTCATGCTGTTGATCACTGGATTGTCTGGTCCAGACTCGATTATTTACAGAACGCCGCCATATAGCTGGAATATTGCTGAATGCGGCGTAAAACTAACCTCGCTCACTCTAGGCCCAAACATTGGTGTTATTGTAGCTGACTGAGCATAATTGATAAGTACTACTGAGCTTTTGAAACTTGAAGAGTTCAACCTAGAGAGTTTTAAACGTAAGCGAACAGACTGATCCTTATTAACCACAGCTGAAATCTTTTGAAATGGGCAGTTAAGGATTCTTTGCCAGAAAGAAGTTAGAAAGATAGAGAATAGGTAAAATATTTTTTTAAATTCCAGTGCAGCTATGCAAATATATGTTACTAATATATTCTACTAGGGGGTGTAAGGTCATCTATGCTGGTAGACAGGTAAATGCTATGAATTTTGAGAAATTGTCCCTTTTATTTCGTTCACGCCTTCATATCTGTTAGGAATATGTATATTGATATATATATGGGCCTGTGGCCTTCATACGTAATAGACCGCCTCCGTGGTGTAGTGGTTAGAGCGTCCGCCCGGAGAGCGGAAGGTCGCGGGTTCGATCCCCGACCGCGTCATACCAAAAGACGTTAAAATATGGTACTTGTTGGTCCCTGCCTGGCGCTCGGCAATAATGGGTACAACAAGGCTCGGAGTCAGTATACTGTGTCTAAGTGGGTATTCATGCTTCACTGCGGCATGGTATCTCAGTGATCATGAGCTAGCACTATAAAACCAGCTTAAGTCTGGGCTAGTACAAGCAGCCGCACATACACACGCATGCACGTCGTCATATGAGCGAAATATTCTCAAGCGCGACGTTAAACCCAATTTCACCTCACCGCACCTCACCTCACGTCACCTCATACGTAATAAAGATTTTGATGGTGATGATCATCAACACTGCAATAAAATGTAATGTTTTATTTTTGTCACTTGGGCATATCTCTGTAAAAACATGTGACAAAATAACAATTTAATCATTATCCATGTAGTATCTGTAAATAGTTAATTTTTACTATAAGTCTTTTTAAAAAGTGTAAAATATAATACACAGAAATAGGAAAACAGGACGGTACAAACTTCTGCATGTGTATCTTGAAGTACTGTTGTGGTCGTATTCTTGGAGAACTGGATCCATGTCGTGTAGGAGTCCATATATATATATTTCACGCACACACGCACACACGCACACACGCATAACCCGATGATTGATATATGTATCAGATATGTAGAAAGTCGAGGACAGTGGTCTTTATCAACTCCAAAAATAGATTCCACCGGGAGGAAGAGACGAACGAGGGGCATACACGAACGACTTCAGCACCAACAACCAGCGTCAACATGAGGACAGGGTGGATGAGTGGCCGAGTTTAGTTTTACACCGCTTTTAGCAATATTCCAGCAACATCATGGCGGAGGACACCGGAAATGGGCTTCACACACTGTACCCATGTGGGAATCGAACCTTCGGCGTGACGAGCGAACACTTTAACCACTGGGCAACCCAACCATCCCTACAGGGTTTACGTGACGTTATGATGATTTATATAGATCACATAGGTTTGAAATTGATGTTATGTTTGTGGAATGTTGGTTTGATGGTTGTTTCATGTGGATGCAGTATGAGGATGTTTGAGTCATGTGGATGCAGTATGAGGATGTTTGAGTCATGTGGATGCAGTATGAGGATGTTTGAGTCATGTGGATGCAGTATGAGGATGTTTGAGTTCATGTGGATGCAGTATGAGGATGTTTGAGTCATGTGGATGCAGTATGAGGATGTTTGAGTCATGTGGATGCAGTATGAGGATGTTTGAGTCATGTGGATGCAGTATGAGGATGTTTGAGTTATGTGGATGCAGTATGAGGATGTTTGAGTCATGTGGATGCAGTATGAGGATGTTTGAGTCATGTGGATGCAGTATGAGGATGTTTGAGTCATGTGGATGCAGTATGAGGATGTTCGTATGTGGATATGAATTTCGTAAGTTTCATGAACATAGGCCCCGATCACAGGCCCTCGTCTCATTGCGAGGATTAATGACTTAAAAAATATTGGTTTTAAGATAACCCCCGACTTGAAATGCTTCACAGTACAATACATCTTGTCATGATGTATTGTACTGTGAAGCATTTGTGTCATGATCTATTGCACTGTGAAGCATTTGTCATGATGTATTGTACTTGATGTATTGTACTGTGAAGCAATTCAAGTCGGGGGTCATCTCAAATTGTTATATTTGTTTATAAAATCTTTAATACTCGCAAAGACACGACGGCCTGTGGCCTCGATCGGTTATATTTTATGCCGGTGTTTTCCAAAATAACGAATCTTTCATACGCCATGCTTTCTCTTTCAGAAGGTTATGTCCATGAAGTCACCAGGGGCCTCTAGGGAATGTTAGTGAACTCTGTTCACCACAGGGCGTGGTTAAATATCCCTATACGTGTTAATGTAACACATACGTCATAAGATTCCCATTCAGAGTACAACCAAAAGGTGTACGGGTCTTTCAACAGACAGCAGTGTGTCCATTATTTTGTGAATCACAAGATGTTCATCAAGTTTCTGATATCACGTGTCCTCTGTTCGTTCCTCTCAGTGGCCGTCCGTTTCTTCTTGAAAGATTGCTGCATCAGCATTCTCTTTTTCTCCTGGAGGTCCAGCATACGATCCTCAATCGTGTCCTCAGATATGAACTGAAACAGCAAATACACAGCACGCCTTATAAGATCATCACATAAAGAGTATTATTAGATATTTACTATCACGAATCGAGATGGTTTACCCAAGTATATAAGTAATTGTGTTAATAGTCTCTGATTCATTAACATACATACATTAAAAGCCAGACTGCAATCTCACTTTTTTTAATTATTTGATATGATCACTATGTACAGAGTAAGTAAATACAGACGACGTAAATAGAGGTTGTAGCTTGAACTTCCATTAACGACTCAACGTGAGAGAGTCAAGTTTTATGACGCTTTTAGCAATATTCCAGCTCTATCACGGCGGGGAACACCCGAAATGGACTTCACACATTGTACCCATGTGAGGAATTGAACCTGAGTCTTCAGCGTGACAATTGCTTTAACCACTGTGCTACCTACCCCATCGCACCAACGACGCAAAGTATGGTGCTATAATATTAAGTATAGTTACAGAAAGATGTTAAACATCAATGGCGTTTTGAAATAAAACTATCTAGAAAGACCCAGACTGGTTTGGCTTTTTCTACATATGCAATGGTTGCCAATGCATGAGCATTCCTCAAGACCCTAAATGGAATGCTCCGAGAAGGGAACACGTGACCAACCTTTGTGATGATGACATCTTTGGTTTGGCCCAGGCGGTGGCATCTGTCGAAACACTGTTCCTCCGTGGCCGGGTTCCAGTGCTGGAAATCACACGTTTGGTTACATTACACAGTAGACATTGTTAGCTATTACACAGACAGAGTGAGTGAGTGAGTGAGTATGGTTTTACGCCGCTTTCAGCAATATCACGGCGGGGGTCACCAGAAATAGGCTTCAGCATTGTACCCATGAGGGAAATCAACCATTAAGGGTACCCCACGGCTGCTGATATTATATTGAAAGAAGATGTAAAACAAGAATTGAGTACTCTCAAGCAAGTTTCCTTACTTGAGATTACCTACTATTTGCAGACATAACATTGATGAAAACCATATGGCCTTTGTATATTACAGATACATTATTTGGGATATGATGTAAGGATCGATGTCATGAGTGTGTTACGTTTATATTTGATTTTTCCTTTAGATTGAACATCATTGTGTGACTAAAACAGTTCTATCAGTTATGCTTAGCCTGTTGGTTCAACTACTCCAAACCATCTGATTGCTCTTCTCCTTGTCTATACGTGGTCTAAAATTGAGAACTGGCTGAAGTCTGGCTACCCACCGGCTCCATGAGAAACACCCTGGACGCAGCAGTCAGGTTGAGGCCCCCGCCTCCCACGGAGGGAGATGAGGAAGATGGTGGGCGACCCAGGCTCGGGATCAGAGAACTTCTTGACAGCTTCCATGCGCTGCAGTAGGCAGACATTTTACCATCCAGTCTCACGAATTTGAACTTGAGCTCCCTGCAGGTGAAATTAAGAACAATCAATAGCATTTTCTAATAGTCTATATGTGATATCTAAGCACCACAAGAGACAAATCTGTTCGTTAATCGGACCAGGCAAAGCAAGTGTTTGCCACTAATGTGGCAATGTCCACCGCGCTAAAGAAGAATGAAATTTTTTTAAAATATTTACTACTTTTTATTTTTTGGGTCACATACAAGATGCCGCAAAGAAATGACCGGTGTCTGCAAAA